CCTCCCAAAGGTGTGCTCACACACTGCCTTCTCAACAAGGCACAATGCTTATGCCACCCCCAGCCCTTGCTATCTGCAGCCCCTGCTTTTATTCACTCCATAAGCACTCACTGCCATCTGACATACATGTTTCCAACCACCCTCATTAGACTGAGTTTTGTAACAGGGATTTGTTTTGTTCACTACTGTGATTCCTGCACCTAGAACTCAGCAGTGCTCAATTTTACATTCATAGATCAGTGAATGAATGCACTTGTAGTTGTTGGTGTCTAAAAGTTGCCCCTAAGAAAAATAAACCTGAAAATGTTTCAAAGTGGCTTTACATTCACATTTTAAGTTCAACAGGTTTTGACAAAAATACATATTCCTATAACCACCACCACACTCAAAATGTAGACTCCTGAAAATGACTTTTAAATTAGGATAGGTCCATTTACTATCAGATATGCCTAGAACTTAAAGATATCTTTAAGCAAATCAAGACTTTTGCTGCTATTTTCAGAACCCACATTAAGGAATTTGATAGTTCACAAATCAAAACACTAACAGTACCAGGAGTAGTTGAAATGCAAAAGAACTAAGATATAGTCCAAGATTAAAGGCCAAAGACATGGTAACCTAATGAGTTACATTAACTTACAAGAAGACTGTGCCAAACATTAGGGCAAAAAATAAAAGAACAAGGATTTATAATTCAGGTGAGTATTTAGTTCTCATGGCAATTTGTGTCTCACTGCAACTTGCAAACTTGTTTATCACTTACGATCTTTAAGCTACAAGCAACAGAAACAACTCAAATTTTCCTAGCTAATTTCAGCAGAAAAACAACTTACTAAATGTGATTTATTTGCAGAATCTTTAAGTTTGGTACTTGGAGTATAGTGCAGTGGTAGAATGTTCTACTCCAGCACCACAAACAAAACAAAGAATCTTAGTCTGTTTTAAATGCTGCATTCCCAGGAATGATGATTTCCCTCTTCCCCTAAAAAAGGTCACATTGCAGAGAGGTCCAATGAAGGTACTACTGCTGCTGGTCTCCACTACTTAAAGAAAGGAGAAGGAAACTTTTGCGTCCCCTTCTTGAATTTCAAATCAAAATTTGGTTTGAGTGCTTCTGTTGAGGTCAAAGTGGAATGTGCCTGGAAATAAGTCTAAAGCGGTAGCAAGGGTCACATTACGGAGCGGCTATTTGGTTAGTTTGGTGTCAACAAATACCACTAGTGGTAGAAAAATAAGGACCCAAATACCAAAGCATTAAAATTTAAATGGCTATGAAAATCTGAGATTTCATTGTTTATTATTGGGACAGACTATGTCTTTAAATTTGAAGTTTTAAAGCCAATATAAAGAAAAACACCAAAATAATGTAAGCTGAACATGGGTAAGGCAAATCAGTAAAGATAATATATGAATGACAAGTCTGAGAAGAATAAATGCATTTAAATGAAAACTGTGGGGCTGGGGGTATAGCTGAGTAGTAGAGCCCTTACCTAGCATGAGCAATGCCCTAGATTAGAACCCCAGTGAGAAAGGGGAAGAGGGATGGAGAAAGAAAGAAAGTGGGAAAAGAGGTGGAGGACGAGGGAGGACAAGGGGGGAGGAGGAGAAGGAGAAAAGTCAACCAGCCTTTAAGTAAAGGAAAATACAGCATGTTAGAAAGATCATGCTGGTGGATCCTGAGGTGAGGAAGGCAAAAATGGGACAGGAGACACTACTTGAAAGTTACAGCCAAGTGTGAGAGATAGAACAGAACTCAGCAGTAGGAGGATTCCGATCAAAGGAACAGAATTGTGATAGTCTTTGAATTGACCTAAGTAACTGCATAATGGGTGACAGTGTGAAATAGACAATAAAATAGTAGGAAAACAGATTTAAAGGAGAAGATCAAATGAACCGTTTTTAACTTGATGGGTTTGAGCTACCTGGAAGACTGAGATGGGCTACCTAGAACAAAGGTGGAGTAACAAACATGGCTTTCTAGAGGAAGGTCAGACTTGGGGCAGAATGATAAGAGTAAGGAGGACAGCAGAGCGCCTGTTTTGCAAGCATGAATGCCTCAAGTTCAAACCCCAGTCCCACCAAGAAAAAAAAAAAAAAAAAAAAAAAGGCAGGGGAATGAATGAAATTAGTTACTTGGGGCAATCATAGTGAGAAAATGCCACAGATAACACTGGGGACATCAACATGTAACGTGGGGAGGGGAGCATCTCCCCACAAGAGATCCAAGAGGGCCCAATCAATGACCAATAGAGAAAAAAGGCCAGGAGAGAATGAAGTGTTGGCTATGAAAGGAGAGTATATCAGGACTAAAGCAGGCAGTGTGTGATAGTAAGTCTAGCAAAATAAAGACTGACAAATCGGTGCGCTTACTCAGGGTAGTTTCAGTAGAACAGCAAGAGAGAAGCTAGGTAAAACATCACTATCAAAAAACTAAAGTTGCAGCTCTTAATATTCTCTTAATCACTGAAAGGAAATTCAGATGCTGAACTCCTGTTCTGATCTATTCCCAGTGAATGACTGTCATACTTAAGGTCCTTCTGTTCAGCTAGCACAGGCTCTTCATCAGTTCTTGCGGAAACAAACCAGATTCTCAGGTCTTACCCAAAGAGATTCCCGTTCTGCTATCTGACAGCAACACATGGACTAGAAAGAATAAATGTCATTAGCTTAGTTGAAAGGAACCAAAACAGGTCCCAAATGGTTTCCTGAACTCCAGGACCAGTGGCCTGGTCACAATGGCAAGTTCATTTAGACAGCTAGATGCCTCAGTGACTGTCACCGCTTCAGTACCATAGCTGAATTATAGTACCATAATTACTAAGTGAGACCTTAATGTGTTAATTTGGGCTTACAGCTATCTTTACCCACAGACCACTCTACTTCTAATGGCAAAAGGCCAAACTTCCATGGCTGTCAGAACTAACTAGAATCAGGAGCAGAGAGACTGCCCACAACCTTGCCTGAGCAACGCCTCTTCATTTCTCTCAGGCCCTCTTTATGTACTAAAATAGACCAGATGGTCACCTGCAAGCACCACTGAGCGTCCTTACTGAGCCCAGGGAAATGGAAAAACAAGTCCAGACACCAATTGAAATACGCTCCTTGGAGAAAACAGGAAGTTTAACTGATGCCATGGCAACACAGGCAGCCTGTGACATCAGAGGAAAAGACAAGGAACAAAGGGATTGGTGAAAGTTACCTCTACAAGGCCTTTACTTCTTGAAATCAGATCCATGCTAATTTGAAAGTGCTCAAAGGAGTTAGGTTATTTTGGTACTGCTTAGGAATAGGGCAAGTGAAACTTCTCTTGATACTTTTCTCCAATACATTCCAGGAGATTAGCCAAAACCACGTGCTGGAAATCTGCTGAGTGCCACAATCTATTCTATTTCAGATTCTATTTCAGACAGCTGGTGATACTAGGCTATGAATCAGATACTGGGTAAGGACATAATTATGTAACTAAAAATATTTGGAAAAAAAAAAAAAGACAAAGAAAGACAAAATAAACTTTACCGTCACTTTAGGTTGGGAATTTAAAAAAAGAAAAAGAAGTAGTGGAATAGTATTTAAAGGGCTTTCCCCAGGTTGAAGTGGAAAATTACCAAAAGCTGTGACAGGAAGGTCTATAAAGCATGAGTAAGAGAAGCTACAATGGGCCCAACCTCCTAATTCAGTGGCCTCAGCTGAATGCTATAAAGGTCTCCATCAGAGGCTGAAACTGTTCTGTGTTAGAATCTCCTAAAGCAAGATCTGGAGACAATACAGCAATTTGAGCAATACCTGGCCCAGTTCATTAGATGGGCTGCAGAGATTTATCCAGTATTTAAAAACAGTGATTACCAGAGCTTGTTATCTTCAGTGTAAAATGATTCTTTTAAAAAGGCAGACTGTGTACAAGCTATTTTAAGTATATTAGTAAGCAGGTACTCATGGGGCTGGTGATATAGCTTAGTAGTAGAGTGCTTGTGTAGCAAGGCCCTGGGTTTCATCCCCAGTACTGAAGCCAAAGACAATAACAACAACAACAACAACAACAAAAAAACCCAACCAATACAATACAATAGAAGATCAGAAAAACAGAGCTGGTGATGTAGCTCAGTGGTAGAGCACTTACCTCTCATGCTCAAGACCTGGGTTTGATTCCCAGCACAAAAATTTAAAATAAAAGAAAAGACCAAGTCTCAGCAGTTTATCTTTCACCTTTGATGGTGAACTTGGAGTTATTAAGGTTACTGAGAAAGAGACCCTATTGAGGAAGGAACTGCAATTTTGAACAGAGAAAAGATTATTTAAGTCAGCATATCCACAAGTAGGTGGAGTCCTGAAGGACACCAGCTTCAGGTGATTTCAGTAATTCCATTATTTCTGGTTTCTGGAAGGATACGATTGACCCTTGAAATGGCCTCATGATCAGCAGAGATTTCAGAGCAAGAGTGGGAGAGAATCTGTAGTTCACTCAGACTTTGTATTTCCATCTCTAGCTCTCCTTGCTGTCACACAGCACCAGAAAAGATATGTAAATGGCCTCAACAAGAATAGGCTAGCTGGGCACAGGAGGCTGATGCCTGTAAATCCTAGCTACTCAGGAGGCAGAGATCTGGAGGATCATGGTTCAAAGCCAGCCCCCTGGGGAAAATAGTTCTTGAGATACTATCTCAAAAATGCCCAACATAAAAAAGGGCTAAAGTGCTAGAGTGCCTGCCTACCAAGCATGATGCCTTGAGTTCAAACCCCAGTACCACCAAAAAATAAGGGGGTGGGGGCTAAATGGCAGCTAGATACATTTGAGATAGACACAAGGAAGAAACCTTCCTAACCATAAAAAAATTTGGTGCCCTGGTACTAAGAGTTCTCCATTACTATAGAAATGGCAATTACCTTTGGATCAGATACTTCTAAAAACTTAACTACTAGTTACAAGACTGGAAATGGAGATAAAAATCCCAAACTGGTCTGCTATCAGTCTAGCACAGACATCTAAAAATCCAGTCACTTACCCAAACTGGAGAGCCTTTTTAGCAAGCCAGCTTCCCGAACAGCAGCTGGACCATGTTCCACTCCTTTTCTTTTCTGTAAATCACACAAATTACAGAGTTAGATGGGAGGGAAGACGATTGGGAAGGAAAAAAAAAAACAAAAAACACCTTCACAAAAATACAGAAGTGTAAGATACTACACTGAGCACCTAATAGATTCCTCTGCAACCTGTCACAGTATGCATGAGCCCTTCCATCTATTACTTCTACCGCTCAGGTCTGTCATTTTCATCAAATCTTTGCATGGAAGGAGAGGAAAACAACTCTATTATTTAAAACAGGTCAACCTTCCCTTATGAGAAAGGCCAACAAAGTCCCAGCTCAGTCCTAAGGGCTGAGACTGGCTAGGATCTGGTGTCTGGGCCAGGTACTGGGGTTCCCCGGCAGCAAGGGAGCTCCTGGACTGCAGGTTTCTTTCACTGAAGAGAGAACAAAGCCCCTCCGTCCTCCCGCCGCTGGAGAGGCCAGCGCCAATTTCTTCCCCGGCTAATGCTCTTTCCGAAAGGATGCATCCGGAAGCCCTAATTCCCGATCGCTCTCTTTAACCTCCCCTCCGTCAATTTTCCACTGGGAATCCTGGCCGCTTTCTCCTTCTTGGCAGCTTCACGGAATCCTCTTCCCTCCATCACCAGAAACTGGAGCTACCGATCCCTCGCCCTTTCAGGGGAAGGGAGCGAAGAGGGGACTGTCCACTGCCCTCACTCACCCCATAAAGGATGCGCTCCTTCTCCCTCCCTTTCTTCCCTCCCACCCTCTCCATCACGGTCCGGGAAAACCCCATGTGCTCCCCAGTGCCCCACCACGGGAACCCGGCGGCTCTTCCCCTCGCCGCTCCTCCCCATCCTCCCCCGGCCCCCCGTACCACACCGCCACTTTCTCCGGGTTCTGGAGGTCGGTGCCGGTTTCAACCCTCACCTGTCCCTGAGAGAATGGGGCTCCGATCACTGCCACAGAGTGGACGGACTTCTTCAGGACCGAATGCATTGGCATCCGGAGGAGAAGCGAGAGGCTGCGCCTCAGAGACATGATCGGCAGTACAGGATTACCACGACCGAGGCGGCTCCGAGCGGCTCTGGGCCTCGAGTGAGCGCCACTGCCCGGCGCCGCGCTTACTTACTGGGGCTAGCCGCCCGTGACGTCACTGTAGCCTTGTCTCCGCCCCGGCCACGCCCGCCCGCGCCCCCAACCAGCCCCCGGCACACCTTCCCCGAAGGCCCCGCCCTCTACTCCGCTGGAGCGCTCCGGTCACGCCTACGATGACATCATCTCACCCCGGCGCGGACTAGCCCTTCGGGGACACGCCCCTGAGGCTGACGCCACAAGGGGGAATCAAGAGCTAGCCAATAAAAGCGCGGTGTTGGACACAGGTGTGTCCTTGCTCACGGGAAGTGACTGGCCCTCGCCAAGTTCATGAACTCGGTAGACCTGACCACAGCTTCGGATCTGTTCTTTACACAAATGCACGCCAGGAGATACGAGTTCCAGAAAGTGTTGGCAGAGCTGCGCTGGCCCTGTGTGGCCGACCTTACGTCATCGCCTACCCGAGACCAAGCCAGCATCCATCTGGTCTGTTCTATCTCACAGCTCAAAATCCTGGGAACATTTACTACACCTTTGGGCGTCCAAGGCTAGGAGATTAGAGCCCCCTGGGCCGGGCATCTCAATATTCACCTACCTTACTTAGTATTTTGGTTGGTGAAATTAGGGTTTACCAATTTTCAGGTGTTTTCAATTTTTTATCTAACGGGAGCATTGGCTATTAAAAACCAAATATATCAACATATTTGGACCATTTCTAAATTTGAAGGAGGCTAAAGCGCTGAAAATACTAAGTAAAAGGTTGGCAGAGTGGCTCAAGTGGTAGAATGCTTAGCAAGCGTGAGGCCCTGAGTTCAAACCCGAGTACAGCCAAAAAGCAAACAAAAAACCCAAGTAACTATTGAGGACTTTAATAACTAAAAGCACTTAAATAGTAACCAACTAAAGTTCTAAGAACTTTAATCGTTCAGCAGTTCTACAAAGTGGTACCTATTTTAAATTCGGTGAGACAGGAAAGATGTTTCCAATGTCACATAGCTTTTAAATGACAGAGCTGACTCCACATTTCACATTCTTAACTGTGACTCTGTGGTGTATTTGCGGTACTGGATATGAACACAGGGCTTTCACCTTGAGCTACTCCACCAGCCCTATTTTTGTGATGGTTTATTTTTGAGATAGTCTTGCGAACTATTTGCCATCTCTGCCTCCTGAATGGCTAGGATTACGGGTTGTGAGCACTGGCTCCTGACTACATAAATTTTGTTTTGTTTTTGGTGGCACTTGGGTTTGAACTCGGGACCTCAGGCTTGCAAGGCAGGTGCTCTTAACACCTGAACCACTTCTCCAGCCCACTGTGACACTATGGCATGCAGGAATCTAGACCCTATTTCCACCTAAATTAATTTTTATGTAAACATCTGAAATTTATTCCACCTGATGTCAGTTTACATGCTGCTCTCCAAAACATTTCAGAAGTCTCTGCAGCAACACTTAACTCTAAGGAGCTTTAGTATAAAGCCATTTATATTCAGGGGCCACCTGGTATGCTTGTCTTCCCCTGCTGGTTTAAGGAAGCCGACTCTGAGCATAATCAGCAAGTATGACTAAAACGCAGTGGTTCTGTAAGTGAAGGCTCAGACCAGCAGCAGCAGCATCCGGCCACCTGCTAGAAATGCAAATTCCTGGGCCCCAACCCCAGGGTTACTGAATCAATAACTAGTGGCGGGCACAAGCCCTCCAGGAGAAGGTGTCAGGTGTGATCAGTGATTTGCAGCCACTGATACTGTCACAGTTATTCAGTTCATTAGTTTACCTTGGTGCTTTCTTTCTTGCTCATCACCTCATGAAATATTTCCTTTCATCATGACTTGTATGGATTGTCTCAAGCCCTCCTAGGCTACTGCAAAAACTTCTTGCTTCTTGAGCATAACAAGTTATGTGCACATTGACCTATCCAAAGCACTACATGAATCCTGCATGTCACTTCAGTGATTTCCCATTTCCTATCCTTTAGTCAGAGGTAAATTACTACTACCATAATACCAGCAGATTTTTTAGTGTTATAGGGGCAGAAAGGTGTGACACCTTTCCTCATCCATTATAAGGCTCACAGTTGACACTCCTGTAACCAAAGGTAGGCTAACAAGAGAAAGGAATAACAGATTCATTCAATCAAATTTTAAATGAATCAGGAACCTTCAGAAATGAGACCCAAAGAACCAGGAAATCTGATTTTACGCTTAAGTTGAGTGGAAAATGGACAGGCATGTAGAAATTTGATTAGACAAAAAGGTATTGTGGGTGGCAATAGACTGAGTGAAGGACCCAGTGAGGCCTATCTGTTCAGATTCTTTGTGGCATTTCGCTGTAGCATCCCTCCAAGTTTGAAGCAGGACTGCTCTGGAATGAGGGTTTTCAAGGGTCAAAGAAGGGAGACTGTGAAGTTTGCCTATTCTGGGGGCCTGCTTTAGGGGAGAGGAGTTCTAGTTTTCATGACCTGCCTTGGGGAATAGGAATTCTGGTTTCCCAGAAGAGAAAGACAGGAGGGAGAGAGGAACTTTGATCTGAGTTTCTCCCAGTGTCCTTTGGCTCAAAGTACTCAGCACTCCAAGGTGCCACACTCTGGGACATCATGTTCTGAGTTCCAACATTATTCCTTCAAATTCAAATTATTATTCTATAGTCTGAAATATTTTATCATTTATTTCTAGGATCTGTCAAAGGACACAATTATAACAATTCAGAGATATTAATTGGTTTTATTTGTGATTCTATAATTAAGCAACATTTTATTCCATAAAATAGAATAAGTGTTCTGATAGTCTGATCAGATGAGGCTGAAGAAAGCAGGAAAGAAAAAAAAAAGAACAAAAAGTGGATTGATTATCACAAAGTCACTTTCCTTATAAGGCAACAATAAGGAGACAGCAATAGAAGAATAGCTGGTTAACATCAGGTTACTCTAGGTTACCTTTTTTTGTGCAAGAATTAAGGTAGAGAGAACATGGTGGGAGCAGGAAGAGGAAGAATGATGGAGGGGGGTAAATCCAACTAGGATATATTGTAAGCACATATGTAAATATCATAATGTATCTATCCTCCTGTACAACTATTATATGCTAATAAAATCATTAAAAAAATGTAAAAAGAACTCATAGATAGCCATTGAAACTGGTGTGTTTGGGAAATTTGGCTGTTATTTCTCTAATCCTGATTTCTCTGAAGATCAGAGAAAAGATTAGACTTAATTTCAGGTTGGTGACATGGGACTTTAGCAAATCAAATGAGTGACTCCATTTTGATTTTTAAGTGGTTTGTGCAGGGGCTTACTCCAATACTATTTTCTCCTATAATTTTTAACTAATTTCAAAGTTCAAAATGACTACTTTGCTTTTATCTTCAAGGTAAAATTCTAAGACTGGGGATGTAGCTTAATGGTAGAGCACTTGTCTAGCATGTGTGGTGCCCCAGATTTGATCTCTGGCATCACAAAAATTAAAAAAACAAAAACAATAAAAGGTAAGCCAGGCACAGTGGCTCAAGCCTGTAATCCTAGCTACTTGGGAAACAGATTGAGAAGATCATGGTTCAAGGTCAGCCCAGGGAAAAAGTTCATGAGACTGCATTTCAACCAATGTCTGGGCATGGTGGCACAAGCCTGTCATCTCAGCTACACTGGGAAGCACAATTGGAGGATCTCCATCCAGGCCAGCCCCAGCATAAAGTGAGAACTTGTCTCAAAAATAACCAATGCAAAAAAGGGCTGATGGAGTGGCTCAGTGGTAGAGCACCTACCTAGCAAGTGTGAGGCCCCCAACTTCTACCTTACTATTGCATAGCTCTAGGACCCTTCCTCAGGTTCAAATCAACTTAATCTACTTGTCTTCTCCCTTTAAAAAGATTCTGCCTCTTTACTTCCTTGCCTGCCAACCCATGCTCTATTCCTTGATAGGTTGCTGGGAGTGGAGGGGGGGCTGCAAGGAAGTGAAGGTAGGTAAGACCTGATTGTGGGGTTTGTAAATACTCCTCAGGACTGATTTCAAGCTCCCAACATGATGACACCAAATGTGGCACTGACAAGAGATGCTATGGAGAAAATAACAGAGTAGGGCACTAGAAGAAAGAAAAGATAACTTGAATATAATAAGAATAGAAAAATTAAGAACAACAGAAAAAAACGCACAAAATAAAAGAGATACAAAAGAAAAAAAACACTAGAAGCGAAAAAAAAAAAAAGAACCACCACAAAAAAAAAAATACGAAAAAAAAAAAAAAAGGAAAAAACAACTCACATGAAAAAATAATATTAAAGAACATAAGAGACAAAAAATTAACACAAACAAAAAAAGAGAAATATAACATATCATAAAAATACACATATAGAACAATAAAATACATAAAAAAAGACAAAACAAAACATAATATAAAAGAAAAAAGAAAAAGCACGCTTCTCTCTTGCTGGCAACTTCACCACCTGTGCCCGCCATGCTCCCTTTTGTAGCCCTCTCTATACTCTTATAAAACTCCTTATACACCCATGTGTTCTGCTTGGATTCTTTCACACCGTAGTGCTAGGACCAAGATCTTCTGGAAATACCTTTTGGGGCCAGAGGGGCTGGTTTAGAAAGGAATGTCAAGAGAAGCCTCTCCAAACTGACATTTGAACCTGAGACCTGAGTGAGGAAAGCCAAGAGAAAATCCAGGAAAGGAGCCTTGCAGACTAGGGGAACAGAAAGATCAAAAGCCCTGTGGTGGAAATATCCTTGTGGGTTAAACAGCAAGAATGCCAGTGTATCCCAGATATGCACAGCAAAGGGGCATGTGGTGAATGGAGTCAGCTAGGGCAGATGGGCCAAATAACAGAGGCAGCACTGAAGAACACAGACTTCAGAGAATGAATTTTTTACACGAAGATAAAAGGGTAATTAGTCTGAAGCAGTCAGTACTAGGAAGTTGGGGAAATTGGTCCCTTCTTTCTTGTTCTTTGATACTAGGGACAGGGGGAATTAACATAACCCTAGAAAAGAATTAAGGTAAATAC